CTCCTAAGCGATGCACATCCACCATCCCGCACGCGGGATTCGAACCCAGAACCTCCAGAATCGCGTACGATCACTTAATCTCGAAACTACTGAGCTGGAATCCAACGGTGCTGATATCTAACTTCAACCAAACCACAATATGCTACAATTTATCATATAAAACGCATTATTTTCACTCGTAAGGCATATTGTCTTCTGACACTTATTTGCTATAGGTTATCCGCATGGATAATCTGGATTTGTGAAAAATTACCTGTAGGCCACAACATTCACATTAATCCAAACGGTCAATCGATAGCGGTCAATTAGAATCACACCAACTTTCTACATCGCAATCATGTGTAACAACTTTTTAATTCATTATATTTTACGATTCACTAGATATATTAGCTATGAATTCTAAGAAGACGAAAGAACTTTCCTCTGGAATTTCAAGAAATAAAGGAAACAGATAATTTATTATAAGGCTATATTTAACAGAAAATAATTAAAAGTACTTCAACGTGGATTTACAAGCAGATTATATAAAGTACATGACCAAGATTATATTCGTGAAGATAAAAGGTATAATCAGTATATCATCTTGTAATCACTAAAATTAGTGAAATTTCACACTACAATCTGTATTGACCGGCATAGAAACCATTCATTTAGAGATGCTAATACTCAATAACGAAGAATCAAATATATTTATTATTCAGAAAGCTCCCATTATAATTAGCATTTATGAATGTAGAAATTTGTATTTATTAGACAGTTCCATGCTCTGAATACAAGTAGAAAAGATCATGATCATATAGGTGTACGATTCCATTCTCAATGTAGCATAAGGTTGACAAATCAAATGAAGTCACTTTTCAGATGAATCCTTATAAATAAACCGTAATAACTGTATGAGGGAGAAAGAAGGCTGTTGTATTATAAACTGAGAAACTACAAGAGAGATTAATGATGATCAAAACTTCAATCAAATATAACAATTAACAATCCCCATAAAGAAAGGAAATGTTCATGTATTCTGTAAACCAGTTCGAATTTACTGCCATAATTAACCATCGGTAAATACAATTACATGTAGTCAAAGGTTGTCAGGATTTGACGAGATACTGTATTCGGGAATAATACAATGTACCATGAACATATCCACAAATTTCTACTTCACCATTATTAAGCAATATCGTTCGTTGTTCTAGATGTCTATTCATTATGAAAGAAAAATGATAGTCGATCACTGAATAACAGTTTTATTTGAAACTATCTTACACTATTATGAATACTTTATAAATCTGCCCACTAAAGACGTAAACCACTGGTAACAGTGATTTGTAATTTGGAAATTCGCATCACTCTAAAATACTATGTCAACATCTATTTTGATTTCCAAGTGAATTAAAAGACTAATTTAATTTAGAAAAGCATGAATAACTTTATTTGTTGTTTAATTTTTTGATTACATTGTGTTGACAAGCTGTCGAAACTGTACTCCTACTCGTTGATTCCTTGATCCACATCCATATAAGTGTGTTTGGTTATTTGGATCCTGAACATTTGTCGCCACATTTACAATTGCCAGAGGTGCAGCCACAGGTCGATCCGCAATCACATTTTCCTTCACAGCAGTCTTCAATGAATAAAATATTCAACCAATCATTTAGTGCAAGAATTTCGATAAAAGGAATTACAAAACTTCATGAAACATAAATGTTATAACTATTTCGAAATAGTCTTATCCCTCAGTCAGCATGGAACATGGTCAAACGCTCCAGTAAATAAGTTGAGACATCGCTTTCTCTACTCAATATTGAACCTCAAATAAATAGCTAATGTTAAACACTCTAATTATACATATATAGTGTGTTGAGTTGGTTGTAATCATAATAATATTGGTAGTAACAACGATAGGTTTTTTATAGGTTGATATGGAAATTGCTGATCAATAAGCGAGTGAACACAATCAAAATGTTGACCTTCAGTGCTTCGTTCCCATTTGGCAACTATCCACATTTCCTCCGATCTACTACTAGTGCTCTAGATGGTATGAGAAGATTTTCATGAAAATCATCATAAGTGGTAGGAACTAATTAGGAGCATTTCCATATGCGAGGCTCCATCATCTACTATACACTGCATTTGGAATACAGAGAAGAGTACAAACTATCTACTATTGCTAACATTGTCATTGCTAACAAGTTCAAATCCTGAAGGAAATCTAGGATTAGCAGTCCCGTTCTCATCGTCATCACCATTAAACATATTACAATATAGAATATTGTGTTGACTTACCAGACATTGTATTAGCTCAAATGTATAAATTGTACAACATTTATGACACGTTTATTTTCATTTATATACAATTCATTCAGTGTTTCACATAAAACCAGTGCATTTTCACATTTTTAGAATTTATGTTTTAGTCAATCAATATTTGTTAGGTGAACATGGTATACTCGTATAGTTTGTGAATAATCGACGAAAAAAAAAAAATTTCGATTGTATGTGAAATGTTTGGCTGATCATATTGTTGGTACACACTGGTGAGAGAATAATGGAGTTAATCAATTTTTCTCTGTTCGGCATGGAGTCATAACTATACCAAAGTGCATTATTTACCAAACAAATATTGATTGACTAAAACATAAATTCTAAAAATGTGAAAATGCACTGGTTTTATGTGAAACACTGAATGAATTGTATATAAATGAAAATAAACGTGTCATAAATGTTGTACAATTTATACATTTGAGCTAATACAATGTCTGGTAAGTCAACACAATATTCTATATTGTAATATGTTTAATGGTGATGACGATGAGAACGGGACTGCTAATCCTAGATTTCCTACAGGATTTGAACTTGTTAGCAATGACAATGTTAGCAATAGTAGATAGTTTGTACTCTTCTCTGTATTCCAAATGCAGTGTATAGTAGATGATGGAGCCTCGCATATGGAAATGCTCCTAATTAGTTCCTACCACTTATGATGATTTTCATGAAAATCTTCTCATACCATCTAGAGCACTAGTAGTAGATCGGAGGAAATGTGGATAGTTGCCAGATGGGAACGAAGCACTGAAGGTCAACATTTTGATTGTGTTCACTCGCTTATTGATCAGCAATTTCCATATCAACCTATAAAAAACCTATCGTTGTTACTACCAATATTATTATGATTACAACCAACTCAACACACTATATATGTATAATTAGAGTGTTTAACATTAGCTATTTATTTGAGGTTCAATATTGAGTAGAGAAAGCGATGTCTCAACTTATTTACTGGAGCGTTTGACCATGTTCCATGCTGACTGAGGGATAAGACTATTTCGAAATAGTTATAACATTTATGTTTCATGAAGTTTTGTAATTCCTTTTATCGAAATTCTTGCACTAAATGATTGGTTGAATATTTTATTCATTGAAGACTGCTGTGAAGGAAAATGTGATTGCGGATCGACCTGTGGCTGCACCTCTGGCAATTGTAAATGTGGCGACAAATGTTCAGGATCCAAATAACCAAACACACTTATATGGATGTGGATCAAGGAATCAACGAGTAGGAGTACAGTTTCGACAGCTTGTCAACACAATGTAATCAAAAAATTAAACAACAAATAAAGTTATTCATGCTTTTCTAAATTAAATTAGTCTTTTAATTCACTTGGAAATCAAAATAGATGTTGACATAGTATTTTAGAGTGATGCGAATTTCCAAATTACAAATCACTGTTACCAGTGGTTTACGTCTTTAGTGGGCAGATTTATAAAGTATTCATAATAGTGTAAGATAGTTTCAAATAAAACTGTTATTCAGTGATCGACTATCATTTTTCTTTCATAATGAATAGACATCTAGAACAACGAACGATATTGCTTAATAATGGTGAAGTAGAAATTTGTGGATATGTTCATGGTACATTGTATTATTCCCGAATACAGTATCTCGTCAAATCCTGACAACCTTTGACTACATGTAATTGTATTTACCGATGGTTAATTATGGCAGTAAATTCGAACTGGTTTACAGAATACATGAACATTTCCTTTCTTTATGGGGATTGTTAATTGTTATATTTGATTGAAGTTTTGATCATCATTAATCTCTCTTGTAGTTTCTCAGTTTATAATACAACAGCCTTCTTTCTCCCTCATACAGTTATTACGGTTTATTTATAAGGATTCATCTGAAAAGTGACTTCATTTGATTGTCAACCTTATGCTACATTGAGAATGGAATCGTACACCTATATGATCTTGATCTTTTCTACTTGTATTCAGAGCATGGAACTGTCTAATAAATACAAATTTCTACATTCATAAATGCTAATTATAATGGGAGCTTTCTGAATAATAAATATATTTGATTCTTCGTTATTGAGTATTAGCATCTCTAAATGAATGGTTTCTATGCCGGTCAATACAGATTGTAGTGTGAAATTTCACTAATTTTAGTGATTACAAGATGATATACTGATTATACCTTTTATGGTTGCCAACATATTAGTCTCATAGTTTATAGGAATTTTATTTAGATAACAGTTGTTTGTCAATTTTCAATTGACCATATACTCGTCTAATACCTTATTATTCTCCATATACTTAACCGTTGACAACTAATTGAATCTGGTTGTTTTACCTGATCATGATTGTTGTTTCGATGAAATGTGTGGTGTTTTCTTTTGTGTAAATCGTTCAACAACTGCAGGTATGAATTTTTCATCAGTGAATGCTTAGATGCATCTTGTTTGTACTTTGATGTAATACATATTGCCAGCTGAATAATTATTATTATTTATTGAATAACTACTAAATGTTTAGATTGTTTTTCAAAATACAAATCTTGAATGAATCAACATTTTATTTCATTATAATAAATACACAACATCTTCAATTGAATTTATGCAGAAAATCCACTAATATATTTTGTTATTTTTCATAAAAAAGAAAGAACTAATGAACAATTTCTGATTTGATTTTCATTTATTATTTATTTCTGTTTGTGCTTATCGACCATATGGTCGAGTGAATCGTCTGCGATGGACGTAAAACACCTTGTTCTTATCTAAATTTTCTAGATCATTTGGATACCATTTTTGTTTAGTTCCTTGAATATTCAATCATTGGACGCAGAAACATTGAATATTCATTGAACATGTAAATGAAAAGAAAAGAGGTGAAAATATTTAACAAAAATAACAATAGGGGTGTTTTATTACATGACATTTATGTGTATATATAGTGGCTTATTTTGGACATATAATTTACACAAAAAGACTTAATAATCCAGTAGATTTGGGCAGTTTACAGATTAAATCAGCTATAGAAGTAAATGCTATTTTCATTAATCACCAAATTGATGTTAGAAGCATCAAAATAATCCAAAAAGGTTTTTCCAAAGAGGCGAGTAGTAGGAGCGTTTCATATAATGCCAAATCCCTATGCCCTCATTAGAAAAGGTCTAAAGATTCATTCAACCTGGACTGTTTATTCAAACAACAACATTTGACTATTTATTTTCCACATAAGCTACACACACGTACATAATTTCAACCCCACTACTTCATATCACAACTATATACATTTTTCATACTCACATTCTAACTTACAAATTAATAGTAACAGGTCATACAAATTCACGTTAACTAAGGATAACTTGACACTGACATATTCTAACCTATTGTGGTTTTGATTGTACTAAAAATATTCTGTATTGTTTCCTTCTTACTATTTAAACTTGTGTTAAGTTAGTTCGGTTATTTATTTGCTCTGTAGAAGTGGCTTACATTAAGTTATGAAACGTAAGAACTACAATTTTCTACTTATTAGGATATAACAAAAAAAATATATTTATTATTAGCTTTCTATCCAATGCTCAATTTATTTGAAACTATCAAGTTCAACCTTGATATTAATATCTATAAAGATAATATTTAGCGGATTGTTATTAAGTTAACAGATTACATTTTCAGTAAGTTAGTTGAACACATTTGGTCAAAAGACAAATAGAAACAATAGATAACTAAAAGCAAATAGATGTATATTGACAATAAACATGTAAGAATGAGTTGATTTTAACTGTAGTTGGTTTGATAGTGAAGCTAGCGAAATCAATCGGATTGAGTTACTGCGAACACGGAGATTCGGTTTACCGAGAAGGATGTTGTTGGTTTCAACCTTTCTATGAATTAGATATAATGAAACGAATATGAAGAACTCATATAAACGATCAATGTCGCTTTCAATTGGATTTTAATCAGACTTTCATTTACAATAATATTTATGTGCAAAAACCCAGCAAGGCAATTTGTGAATCAGTGAGGACTATGAAGATGGACTGCGTAACTAATCATAATAAATAAATAATACATAGTGATATTAAAGTGAAAGATAATGATAAGTAACCTGGCAATGTATCTAAATATACTGAAATAGGAAGTAGGTCAAAGCATGAAGAACAAACTAAAATAATAGGTATTAAAAATTAAGTAGTGAGAAATATGTGTATAATCAGTCAAAGAATGCAAAGATACAAACGGATGGTAGAAAGAATTAGTAATATCTTCGGTTATGTTTTCTCTCTTCAAGGAATAGACAGAGATACTATAGACTTTTTTTAAATAGAAGGGCTAGGTGAGTTAGCTCGAATCCCCATAACTTTCGCCTTACGCAAGAGACCTGAAAATTTGAAGGCATTCGATAACTTATTATAAATGTTGTAGTTTTATCTACTACATGACCCCCATCGATCAATTTCGACAAAGTTGAGATGTTGAATAAATTCATTCCAAAAATTAAAATCACAATTTTGTCTAAAGACAAAATGGCCTAACTATACTATCGTTAAACCTATGGAACATAAAGTGTTCAAATCGAAAGTCAGCGAAATTGTTTAATAACCTATTTTTAAAATTAATATAAGTGAACAATCTGCACCATATTCAAGATTTCTATCAGTACCTATAACAAAAGATTTTGATGTTAATTTTGTGCCCCGTCTCAATTATGTGTTTTGCTATCGATGAACTTGGTTTTCTACCTCCTACATTAATCGGATCATTTGACACACATTGATTTTGAAGCCATCTAGGCACATGTTCATTGACCCTTGATTGCATTGTTCGATTACTCCTCCCTATGTACGTGTGTCCACACAAACATGTAAATTGGTAAATACAATGGGATGTGGCAGAGATTGAAAGCAGCCATCGAGAATACGTATTATGCTGCTCAGTTGGTAGTGATTGAAAAGTCTAAGGCCATGATTCCTAATAGACCCAAACAATGAACTAATGATTACGTCACATCCCATTGTATTTACCAATTTACATGTTTGTGTGGACACACATACATAGGGAGGGGTAATCGAATAATGCAATCAAGGGTCAATGAACATGTGCCTAGATGGCTTCAAAATCAATGTGTGTCAAATAATCCGATCAATGTAGGAGGTAGAAAACCAAGTTCGTCGATAGTGAAACATATGATTGAGACGGGGCACAAAATTGACATTAATACAGCATTTAGAACGTTGTGTAGAAATTGTCAAGGACGAATTCTTAGGTTTATTGAAGCCTTGGTTATTCGTAGATTTAAATCCCCCTTATGTATACAAAAACAATTTGTCGTAACCTTGAATTTACCTTGGTAATCCTTAAGTCATTCTATGGCCTAGGATAACGCGACAGTTTCTTATTCTTTCTCCCCCTTAGTTATTTTAATTGTACTTTTATTTGTTTGACTTTTATTAATTTTCATATAAAAATGCCTTGACAAGTATATGTGTGACCAGATTCTTCGAAATGTATAGCGCAAATACATCACATTTTTCAGATCAACTCCGTCTTCTCATTGTTCTATCGAAATTTATAAAAGGGACTAATTGCTTTAAATTATTGAAAAGAAGACTCCATTCGTCTTGCACTAAAGGGTTAGATGAACTTGCTAATCTGAAGTGCAAAATTGCATCGGAAAAGGTAAAACTGGAGTTTTACAAAACTTGCATTAGTACACACATATTTCCAAGACATTTCTATAAATTCTTACAAAAGATTTTGAAATGATTTATTTATTCGAACGTAAAAAATTACTACATTCCATAATCAAATTGGAACTTACCAAACGCAGAGTGTTTTGCTTTACTATCCAGAATATCTATCATATGATCATCCGACATGTAAGGATATGTAAGATAGAGCCCATTTTCTGACTGATAAATATCATCATCCATATGTCCAGTAGATAATACAAACAGATATAAAACTACGAATAAAATGTAATAAATTTTCATTCTTCTAGTTTTATTTCCTTTATTGAATTATTGCTTTCCAAAGGTTTGTTGTCTTTTGAAAAAAAAAGAGAAAATAGGAAATTTGATTATTATAAGTTTTAGGATTGTGGAGTATCGGATACTGCCTGCCTCATTCCTACATAAAGGGAGAGGATTGGGTTTAGGACTAACAATTCCATCTCGTAACAAGGAATCACGCAACGACAAAAAAACGTTAACTAGCGATAAATAGTTTAACCTATTGAACTTCATCCTGAAAATCGAGAGATATTCATTTGGAAAAGTTATGATGCCTGATGGCGAAAGCTGGGAATTACCGAAAGACGCGGGTCTGACACCCTTTCTGAAAATCAGAACAATAACGAGTAAATGTAAACGGAACGTTCAGACATTATAGGGAACCATGAGGGTCATTCAGACAGTCGTAAGAATGAGAAGATACAACCTCTTTGCGTTTGTATAACGTGAAACTCATTGAATACAATCCAGACAGAAAAGAATAACTTCAGGAGAGCTGATATTATATCATGGTAAAGAAGAAGTGCAAGGAGTTGCACTGATGATCCCCAAAAAGGAACGTTAAAAGCGCTTAAAAGGTGGATAACTCATGGTTTCGAGGTTATCAGGACATCACTCAAAGCAAAGGAAAAGAGTACACTGGATGTCATCCAGTGCAACTCACTCACCAATGGTAGCAGTAAAGTCGATAAAGAAAAGCTTTATGAAAGGCTGCAACCCATTGCATAGAGCAGTCTAGGAAAAGGCTTGACTATTCTGATGGGGTAGTTGAACGCCCTTGTCAGTATGAACAACAGTTTGTTCTAACGCAGTGTGTGACAAAATGGGCTGGGAGAAATGAAGGAGAATAGTGAGAGGATGATAAATCCATGTGCTCTCAAAAAGCATAGTTACAAGCTTTGAGATGGTGGAGAAGATTTGTAGCTCAGGTGGATGATTTTGATGGAGTTTTGTTCTCTGAGCTGGATGGTTCGGTCGAGGAGCTTCTATCTGAAGTTTTTCCTGAGGATGTCGTTCGGAAGAACGATGAAAACGTTACGACCAAACCATCCAGCTCAGTGAACAAAACTCCATCAAAATAGTTATAAGCAGCACCATTTCCCCTCACAAACGCATGGACTAAACTATACGGGTTTCATTAGAGAATAAGATTGACCACAAATGTATGAATAAAATATTCAGAAAATCTATGGAAGATGTAAGAACAAAGAGAGGAACTGATACAGCTCCATAGTTACCCCAGACAAAATTCAAGAAGGGAAAGTCAAGAAGATAATAATCATCAACAACAGACGAACATGAAAAAAGAAAGTCTGGGAACTGAGTGACTGAAAAAGGAATTTGAAGCCAACAGATGAAAATATGTAGAAGACCCGGGAGCAACAATAACAGAAAAAGCTGCAAGAGAAGGAAATATGACAGGAATATATTTTACAACTAAAAAGCTATCAGGGAAATATTATAAATAAGAGCGACCAGTTAGGAAAAGAAAGGAGATCTAATTATTGTGTGTCAAGAATGACGGAAATGATATGTTGAAGATTGTAAAGAGTTCTTGAATTGACCAACCCCAGTGAACCTACGGGATACTAAAGTGACGCACGTAAACCTTCCTCCACCAACAATAGAAGAAATTAATAGGGCAATCGGACAAACAACAGCCTTCCAGCAGAAACATTAAGGTTAGATATAGAGGTAACAGTGAAGATGTTTTAAATTATCTCCAGAAAGATTTGGGAGTATGATTAAGTATCAACGCACCTGAAAGTGAGATGTATCATCAAGATAACGGAGAAAAGCAGATCTCAGTAAGATTAAGAATTTCAGAGGATAAGAGTGAACTACTTGGAATTCTTAGATGGCTAAGCTCTTATATCTCATATACAGAAGGAAATTCAGCTGAAAACAGCCAGTGTAGCTGCAGTGTCTGCAGAAGTAAGTATCAACATTCGCACGGGAAATAGCAGGGTCATGAAGTGTAAAAGAACGAGCATCGGCCAACTCACAAGACACTGAAGCTCTGAAAGACGTGAAAGCCTTCATATATCTGGACAGTATCATTGATAAACAAGGAGAGCGTGGTGGAGATGCAAACCAAAGGCAGGATCCCTACAATTGAAGAGTATCTAGAACCCAAAACAACTGTCAACAAACAACACAGTGAGAATTTTCGATACCAACGTTCAGTTATTTTTATTGTACAGAGCAGGAACTAGGATAACCAATACAACCATCGTCAAAAACGTGTAGGTATCTATAAACAATTGTCTACTCAAGATACTCCAGATCCATTGATTAAACATCTTTTATAATGATCAACTGTGGTAGAGAACTAACCATCTTTCACTTGACTAAAAATTATAAAACCAGTAAAGTGCGTTGCAAAGCAAGTCTTAACTTGCAATTCTTAAGGCAAAGGGAAAAGTCATGTCAAAGAATACATGGCTCCGAGAACTGAAGGCATCCATCCAGAGCATAAACAGCATCTGGTATTAGTGGAAAAGGAGAGTTGCAGAAAAAGTAGGTTGGAAATCCATGGTCGGCCGCCTATATCTTAAGAAGGGTAACAAGCTTTTGTAAAATTAATGTATAAAATCTTCTGAAATTATGTTTTTTCAGTCAAACATAAACATACCGAAAGTCAGTTTAATCGAATTATAATATTCCTAATGATCTTATTAAATGTAATCATAGTTATGTTTGCTGGCTTGATGAATTTCTTTTTATGCAGAAAATATAAGGTTTATGCATTGACACTTCGTTTCACTTTCTGCTAAATAGAGAAATGTTTTACTGTTAACTTTAAGTGCTTATTGGCAATTGTTATTATTCCTATATGGAATGAAACTTTTCGTTTTACTCTTCAACTTCACTATAATTAAGACATTTTGATGATATAAAACTCAATGATACATTAAAGTTTATTTCTTAACGGTAAGAAAATTGTGTAGATGAAAGGAAAAATGTATTTTTATTATTAATCTGTGTTAACTATTGTAATCTTTGTTTTTATGCTGCAGAAATGCTTCTATTCAATTCGTTGTTCCTCTATAAATAAATATCTCAACATTATAATGAATATTTTGTTTGTTTGTTTGTATCTTCCCATTGATGTTTAGGACTGTAATTGATCAGTCTCTTATTGACATATATGCATCCTGTGCGGATTGCTTCAATATTGCATTGAGTCACAGGTATCATAAGTAGAGATTGATGGTGGCTAGCAGTGGAATCCAAGACGGGATGGCGTTTGAAGCGAACGGTACTGGGGTTGAGTTCCGAAATAAACATCAACTCTGTAATGCAGGTACATCTAGCTGACGATTATCAAATAGGACGAAACGCGCGTCCTGGATTCCACTGTTAGCCACCAACCACTTTTGTTTATAACAAATGCTATATTTTTCGATTTCAATACTAAATAGAAGTTTATTTTATCAAAAAATTGATTTGGGTTTTGAAGGTTACAAATGGATATATCTGATACATTCAATAGTGACCACAGTTTAAATGAACCTAAAATAAGCTAGGAATAATTTCTTCTTATTGCCAATTAGTAATTAACTGATCGTTTATTAGCTATGACTGTAAAACGTAATGAAATTGTAGGTTGAATCATATCAGTTCACTAAAGATTCCAAGTATCCTTTTGTTGAGATATTCAGGAAAATATCCCAAAAATTATTCTGTTAAGTCTAACGCTATCCTTGGACTTGAGATGGTGTCATTTTCTTATTGGTCAATATTTATGTCACGTGTCATTTTCCTACTGGTCAATATTGTACAATGTTATTTCTATTTTATGGTACGATGTGGTTTGTTTGGTTGCTATATAAACAGAGCATGTTTGAAATATAACGATTCATATCTCCGAGGCTGAGACTTGTGTTCTGGACTCAACTGGCTGGGCTAGACAGGGAAGCGGGACCAGTCAGGACCCTAGGCCGTTCTTACGTGTTTGCGCGCCTTCGGTCCGATCGATAATTCGTTACCCTCTAGTCTGACGTTCAGTTATAGCACCTTTACTAATAAATACTGATTGGCAAGAAATCTATATTCAAAGTAACATTCCAATTGTTTCTAATGTCTTAACTTCAGAGAATTGGAATTATTTATTTTAGTAAAAAAACGTACTTGTTAATAATTATGTTATTCTGTAACTAAACGCATAATTTTGTAGAAACATAATTTCTCATAATTAATATTTAATTAACTCCTTGTTTTCAGTGTTATTATAAAGTTTTTATTCTCACACCTAAAAACGGTACCGTTTACATAGTTTTTTTCTTTAACAGTTTAAAGTAATGGATAAACTAACCTATTCCTTTATATTCTTTAAACTCTAACCAAAAAAGCAATATCTAGAACTAGTATATATATATATATATATATATATATATATATAGAGAGAGAGAGAGAGAGAGAGAGAGAGAATGTACAGCAGTAACCACAGCAACTAATAAATTTCATTAGTTATAAGTAGTTTCTCTGTAATGTATACAACATTGGTTGGTACTATGAGAAACATTTGAAAAAACCTATCATCATAATAATTAGGCATTTAGAAAAAAAAGTGATTACTTATATTTATGAATATTTACAGGATTTTTCTCTAATATTTAACAGTATTGAGTAAGAATTAAAATATTTGATAGGAGGTTAAGAAGATGATTAAAAAAATTGAAGATGTTATCGGTTTTTTAACATTTTTACAAATGAAGTTTTTCATTATTTTTATCATAGAGGTTTATTATTATTGTTTTTTAAAAAATCTTAACTCGATATCAACATTCACTAGGATGGATGTGATAAAACTGAATGATCACGATATATACAACAAATGTTTTAGCTCCAGAATCTAACTATTATGATGATCAGATATGTAGTATTATTTTAATTCTAACCGGTAATAACACAGTAAAAAGGTAGGTATTGTTTGAAACGCAAATCGTGTATTTGCACATCAACTATTGAGACTAACTCCAAATTGTGCTGATTTTAAGCGGTAAGTACCAACTTCATTTTAAACATAGG